CGAATCCCTCCGGAATTGTAGCGGCAGTAAATGCGCTGCCTGCACTCGTGTGTGTACGTGGACCAATTACAGCCTCATCATAGCCTCCTTGATAGACGTCATTTCAGTTAATCCAGGAGAATTATTTTTGCTGTAGAGACCCTCATCCTTGGTATCGTCTGTCCAGACGTACCGAACCTTCACTCTAGGACCAACAAACCTCCGTGCCACAGCTGCGTAAATAGGACGTCTTTCTGAGTGGGACTTGGAGCGTACTAGACAGTCTAGAGATATTTGCATGAACGGTCTGCTCATTGTTTACATGTATTTACATAGTATGTACATATGTAGTACAAAAAATTGTCGTCTGAGAGGGCTACACACGAGCTTAGCAATTTGTATTTGTTTATCTATTTTTTATAAATGAATATTTTAGTCGAATAAAAATTGATATGAAAATCCCGCCAAAACTGATATATATATAATCCCGCCAAAAAAAAAGTTATCATTTCGCAGTGGAATGATTATGGGTAAGGGAGGATTGTGAATTTGTGAAAAATACTTTGTCTATGTGGCTGTATGTAAATACAATCATGTAAATTACATTCGACAGAGATATATATGGATTTGCCATATATTGTATATCCAATACATATTGTTTGCCCATCCCTACAATTCGCAAAGAACCAAGTAAGTGCGTAAACTTTGCATCATGTCGCTGTGGGTAGATAAGTATCGTCCCACTAAACTCGAGCAGATAGACTGCAATAAAGATGTGGCGCTTCGCCTGAAGAAATTAACTGAGAATGGCGATTGTCCACATCTGCTCATACACGGGCCTCCCGGAGCAGGAAAGCGCACGCAGATAATGTCCATGTTGAGAGATCTGTATGGTCCGGGTGTCATGAAAATCAAAATCGATCAACGACAGTATACGGTATGCTCAATCAACTTACCCACGAGTAGTTATTGACCAATAAGCTTACTTGCCTCCATTTCAATGTCCAAACACTTATTTTTGCTTTGCAAATATTATATATATATGTATATATATATATGTGTGTGTGTGTGTGTGTGTGTGTGTGTGTGTAGTATACA